TTTTTTAATCACCCATCAACAAAACTTTTTCTCTAAATCACGAACGGGACAAAGTAATTTTTAGATTTTTTGTCGCTGAAAATGGATTAGTAAAAGAAAAATTGCAAATGATAAAATAAAAATAAATAAAATATTGAGAACTAAATCTTCAATTTTAAGTATGATACGAATTTAAGTATGATACGAATAAAAGTATCGTTAAAACACTATAAAGAAAATACTTATTGTGAAAAATATTTTCTCAGCCAGGCTATTTTTCGTAATAAATTCTTCATAGTGTTTTTAAGATGCTTATTTGCATCGTACTTAAAAAATTGGAAATTAATTTAGTTGTGATCTCACTATTTCTGCTTTAGTGTATGACTGCGTTTCAAGTTGGACATTTAATTCGGCGCACAGTTGAAATAGCTGAACAATGGATTTAAAATATATTACGTAATTGTTTATTTAATCTTCAATATACAATTTTATATTTTAATATGTTACGCATTGAATGTTTAATAGATTGCTTTCATGCATTTTATATTAGAATATTTTTACCACGCTGCGATCGGTCCTAAAAATATATTTAGTTGATCAATGTAGTCTGAAAATCTAAACACGAAGGCAGTATATAGTATATACCATTTGTCTTATCTTACTTTTCCTTAAATTTTATTATTTTTAAAATTAATACTATTTCTCTTATCTTACTTTTATTCATTGATATTTTGTAATATTATACTGATATTAAAAGTAATCATAAATAAACGAGACAAAGCTTAAAAGCGATCTCTTTATCATTGTATGAAAAATTGAGATGCCTACAGCAAAAGTAACCTAACTGTCAAAATTCGATTTTTAAACTAAAAGCGTTATTAACTTATAAAATCATTAATGTTTTCAAATAAGAAACTCAATTTCGATAATTAGATATTTTTGCGATAAGCGCATCAATTATGTCAATATTTAAATGTGAGTCAATGGACAAGGGCACCCCGTAATCGCGCGCGCAATGTACCATGGCTGAGCGCGCGAATTTCAGACACCGTAATAGGATAACTTTAATCGATTATTATTTAAAAAGTATTATAGCCTCGACATTTTCGTATAAGAGTTTTCGTCTTAGAATGCTCTCTAGAATCTGCCAGTGAAAGGACATACGACCTTTCTGGGGCACCCTGTATATATACAGGACAAGGTCACTTTGAATTTTTTAAATGAAACCCCCAATTTTTCATTACATATTCTTATAGCACGCCTCGAGACTTTCCAAAACACATAAATAAAATATTTTTTTATGAAATAAATCTTGAGTTATGAAGCTTGAAAGTTGGAGTACTGTCGGCATTAGCATCATCCAAGGTGTCTAAACACTAACTAAAGATGGCTAAGGTCGTTGGCCTTTATCAATGTCATGATCCTGAACAACATTCAAAAGGTTTTAGCTAGTGTTTGGACACCTTGGATGATGCTAATGCCGACAGTACTCCAACTTTCAAGCTTCATAACTCAAGATTTATTTCATAGAAAAATATTTTATTTATGTGTTTTGGAAAGTTCTTAAGGCGTGCTATACGAATATGTAATGAAAAATTGGGGGTTCCATTTAAAAAATTCAAAGTGACCTTGTCCTGACCTTGACGGCGCCACTCGCGGTCAAACCAATGTTATCATCTTATGTCCCCCTCGAAGTCCGAAAACTTTTGTTTAAACAATTTTGTTGTATAGCGCTTACTTTAGGAGATATTTAGGTGGATCGATTAAAATGGCCCACCCTGTATATATATAATATATTGATATAAACATTTTTTAGAAACTGTTAACAATAAATGTATTATTGTCGCATAAACAGAATAAACAGAATTGTTAATCAGGAGACACGGTAGTGTCTTTTGTTAATTCACATTTAAATTGAACTTATTTATACATTATTTTCACACAAAATCATTTGTAGACTGTATACAGGGTGTTTCCAGTAACTCGAGTAAGAATTTATTAGAATATTTCTGTTTTCAATGACTAAAGGGAAAAGTTCATTTCAAAAAGGCAAAATTCTAAGTACAAAATGTCAAGGTCATAATATTTTTTGAAATTGTCAGGTCATCGCTATTATTTTAAATGATTCCTTCAATTATTCTGCATATAAAAGTATTAAGATAATATCAATAGTTTCTGACATATTTTATTTTGGCCTATTGACATCAAATATAAAATATCATTAACTATTCTGTTTTTGGGAATCGTACCTTAATACTTTTATGCATAGAATAATGAGATAAATGTAAAGAAAACAATTGCTTTTATAGTTACATATTGTAAAAATAAATAAATAAATAATGTAGTACATTACTTACGTTTTAACGGGCCAATGTCCAAGTTAAACTCATAAATCACCTGTATAAAAAAAAATTCTTGTTATAATTAACTTAAGAACACAATAATTTGAATTTGATTTGTCAAGATTGAGAATAAAATTATTTATTTGCCGTTTTAGCAATATTTTAGCGTATATGAATATTTCTGAAAAGTATTCCAATTCGTCTAAAAATTCTAAGAAACTTTTTTACCAGGCTAATGTTAATAAATGAATGAAACTACTTATTATAAAATTTTAATGTTATATGATTCCTCTAATTATTCTGTTTATAAAAGTATCAAGATTAAGCTA